ATATGTATAACTGAATGTTTGTAAGTCTTTGCCTGACCCTACCTGTAATTCAGAGAAATCTGCGAATGGTGGAAATAAACAAATATTATTATTATTATTAAACAAAATACGGAGGGTACTGGTAATCAATCTCGCATAAAAAAGTATAAATCGTGTAGTTCTTCTCACGACAGCAGTATGCCGTGGGTGTTCAAAGTTTTCATACCAGTAAAAGCGTAAGGCCTGCCACCCCTTTCCTCTTTTATGGGTAGGAAACCCAGTGGAAAATAAACCAACCCAGTTACGTTTTCGCCTAGAACCCAGTAAAGATATAGATTCCACTGGGTCTGTTACAAGGGGTATTTATTACCAAGTGCAACATGGTTTATTACAAGTTGCGACAGGTCCTACAAAGTGCTGTAATTATTGCGAGATAACAGGTAGTCTATAGCAAATGTCCAGAAAAATAATTAAACGAGGCAAGAAAGGTGAAACTGAAGAGGGGAGAAGAAGAAGAAGCGATAAGTAAAAGTCAATACTGCTGCAGTATGTCGCATCTCGAAACTTTGCTTTAAGTGCATGCCTCATGAAGGTGCATGCTTGGGTAGCATTCGACTTTCGGGCACTTTCAGCTCAGAGTTACTCAGTGACCAGAAAACATCTCGACTAGCTTCAAAAGGCAATTTTCGGCAAAATTTCCAGGGGCGAATAGGTTAAAGAGGACGTTTTTTTCACCCTTGTAGGTTTGTACCTAAATGATGCATAATCTTACCCCTGAATAGTAAGCACAGTTTTGCATTTTTACTGTACTATGGAAAATGGTAAAAAGCATCCAGTGTGCTAGCCGACAATTCCAAGTCGAAACACAATATTCATTGCTAGGCTTATTTCGGTAAACCGATCGCTTTTTGTACTCCATCAAACAAGCGTTTACCGAAAAACACTACATCTATATTCGAAGATGTGCATAAGTAATGCTACTATAGTTGAATTTGATCTATTAGGAAAACTTTGTAACCTACCGCAGCGTTTAAACCGCAGCTGCTGCTACTTTGTGCGCATGTACACGAGAATTTGCTAATTAAAAATGATCTTAACAGGGATGAAAAAATCGACTTTCCATGGAAGCCAATTCAGCGAGGTATGTCCTCTGTTTCTAAACCGGCCTTCACTTATTAAATCTCAATGCACGCAGCCATGTTCACTCACCCATTAATAGCTCAGTAGTCAACTACGCGGCATATCTGTAAACACTAAAAACGGCAGGTGCAATCAATGATATATGAAGTCAAGCACGGCGGGACGAAAACAACTTTCCTCATCATTTAGATGTATCATAGCTGTTTTAATGCCTTCCCGTGGTTAACAAGAGGTTTTTCAACGAGTCTGCCTGCTTTCACCTTAGTTGGCAATTCACATTAGTTTACAGGCCTCCCAAGTAACTCCGTTAACGAGTAGTTTGCAATTCCAAGGACAGAAAAAACGCTTTAGTCGGAACTGCTACTTCAAGCCCGTTTTAAGGTGAGTATCATTGCATTTGTAGCCGATCTTGAATTAGATGTTTTTCCTGTTCATCAAAAATAAGTCTGGCAGGTTTTCCCTTAGAATAGATACCTAGTTTTATCCTTAAAGTTACTATTAACATGAAAAAAGTGATAGCTGTCATTTCATATCATTGCTGATAACTTACTACCCATTTTAGTATTCAAACTTAAGGAGGGTCAAAATTTTCCAATTTTCCTGAATTCCTAAACCCAGTACCTGCATGCTCTATCCCTTAATTTGTTTGTTTCTGAATAGAACACGAATGGCAAATGTAAAGCAATTTTAATTTAAGTATTTCTTCGTAAAACGCTAATTTCGATATTAAGTAATGATTAGGATATCTTCTATGAGTTTGATGCCCGGAAATTAAGCACGGCAAATTATCTCCCCTTTGGAATTTTTTTTTCTATTTAGCTTTCAACATGCATAATGACTTTGAAAAGGCAAGTCACTGGATAAATATTTCTCAGCGCCAAAGACTGATTAGTGTATACATATGAAAACAAACGATTTTCTCTTGACGGCGCGCTACTAATAAATGATTAACAGTGGATACAATTTGACTCACTACAAGTGTCCTGGAGCCTTCAAGCATCGCCTTAATTAATATCTCTTTATACTAACGTGCTTGAAAATAAATTTGAATAACCCTTTTGGGCAATGTCCAAAAAATTGACAAAGTTACAACGAGAAAATATAATGAATTATTTAAAGGAAAATAACGCAAGTAAATTAAAAACTTTTCGACTCTTAGTCTCTTAGCATTGCCTTAGTGTACGCCTAATTCTAGTTTTACTATTTTAGAGGCCATTGCGCAAGAAAAATGGACCCTCTTATCAAAAAGGCTATCTTTCGAGCACTCGGATTCTTATTATGGGCTTCATTGAGCGCTTGGCTGTTTGNTCATTGAGCGCTTGGCTGTTTGTTTTGGTGGAGTATACAGAAGAAAACGACAGTGAAGCAAAACGCCAGTTGTTACTCGCCGTGTATGCGTCCATGTCAACAAAATACAACATGTCCATTGAGGAGTTTAACAACTATTCAAGTATGGTGTATGAAGCAATGAGTGAACCAAAACCACAATGGAACTATCATGCTTCATTGGATTTTGTTTTGCAAGCTATTACCACTATTGGTAAGCTAACACAATTCCACACTTTGTTTTTATTTGCTTAACAATTCTGAACTCTTTCAAAAAAGGCTGACAAATAATCCGAGATTGGTAGAAATCTCCTATTATTCTTTGTCTTAATTCGAGGCAGTCATACATAGCGAGCCTCGCAAAGTGAGACTTATTTCGTTTAGTTTTACATTACCTTAGTTATCTTTAATAGATCTTTTCATGGTTTTTTCAACTTTTTATATGGACCAATTAGGGAAAATCCGTCGACGCCACTAAAAAGAGCGCCTTAATATTAGTAGAATTGCCAAATTTTATAGCGATACGTCTTTAGCAAGCGAAGATATAGCTCCGGAAAATTGAAAAAATTTACATACGTTGGTATGGTGGTGGGGCAAGTTTATCTATATCAGCTTTCAACAAAACACTTTTAAACTTGACAGTTTTACTAATTTTAAGGAGCTCTTTTCAGTGGTGTCGATGGATTTGCCCCCCAAAATTTTGCATAATTTTTGTTTTTCATTTCTCCTGGGTATTACAGCCGTCCCAAGAGAAATTGAAAACAATGCTTAAACAAAATTTTGGGGGGCAAATATAAGGTGCATTATGGGAAATGTGGAAGTGGCGTATTAGGGACTTTAAGGTGATGTTACACGGGACGATTCGCAAAGACGATTTTTAGCACAACACAGCGTTTCAACATCGTTGTTACATTGTTTCGAATGGCTTCAATATTGTTCCAACATTTGAACCCTGCGTTGCGCTAAAAATCGTCGTTGCGAATCGTCCCGTGTAACATCGCCTTTAAGATCCAACGACGCGACAGCAACGAAAACGTCGCCTAAAGTGAATTTGCGTTCGATCTTTCAGTGTTGATCGCGATTATTCCTACTTACTTACTTTGTCAAATGTACGCGAACCCTACTGAATTTGAATTCCGAGGGACCATATTCAAGTTCAGAAAGCCCAAATAAAATTTCGCCGTTGCTTGTTTAGATTCACCATAAAACACGACTTTAGGCATTTGCACGTCGTACTAGTGCAAAAACGGCAAAGAAATCTACGGAAAAGCGTGATGCACGTGCAAAGTTGTTGTTTTGATAATAAAACCTATTGCTTTTTGCGCGTTCTCGTTGCGTCGCGTCGTTGAATCAGTTTAGGGCCAAATATTTAAACCAAGTCTAATTTAAGCCGCGGTTCAACGAATCTTTGAACCTCCAGATCTCTTCTTAAGAAGATAAATGCCTCTCTAGTCTTCTCTATATGCTTTCATAAAAATGTTAGCAATAAATGATGCGTAGATAAACCCGATGGGCAAATTGAAAATGACTTAGAACGCGGTTTTGTTAAACACTGGCTAAGCTTCGTTTTAATGTCCCTATTTGGCGGGAAAACGTGATAGCCTTTGTCATTCTACTTCAGGTTTAGGCAGGACTTGATGTAGAGGAGGAAGCAAGTTATCAAATGTTAGAAGATTTATTATTTTGCTATCGGGAGAGGCCTTAACCGCGTTCAATAAAAATAACCGCGCTAATTTTTTCTGGGGAAAGAAGTTCAATGAAGCTTTCCAGGTGTACATGTCTATTTTTTAAGAATACAAGAGAAAATCTCAAGTGTTAAATCTCTTCCTCGTTGTCATCGACTAGTCCACGAATAATAGGGACCTTACTGAACAACGACGGCGACAGCGACGGCAATGGCAACGGCAACGTCAAAAAGCGATAGGTTTAGTTAGCAAAACGACAATTCTGCACGTGTATCATGCTTTTTTCCTTTGCCGTCCCTGCCGACTACGACGTGAAATGACCAAATATTAAGTTTTTTTGAGGAGAAGAACGACAAGGCGATAAATTGAAACATCTCTGTCTGAACCCGGCAACGGCCCCTCTCTTCAGCTCCAACATAAATTCCCTTCTTTTAAGTACCTGGTGACTTGAGATAATCGCGCAATGGTTTGAAAGGATGCGGAGTCTATTTATGAGCGAACTTTCCATGAATTAATGTCGCCGTTTTTGGATTGTAAGGTTACTAATGTCTCTTTCTACTGAGGCGAATGTGCTGCCTTTAGTCCTTTCAAAAGGTTGGATATTTTAGTCTTTCCGGTTTAAAAATCGCTGGTCCCGCCCTTTAGAAAAATTATGACATGCAGTTACTGCAAATTAGGACAGAACAGACGTGCTCCTTTTATGATCTCCAGGTTATGGATATATCACTCCACAAACACAGATAGGCCGGATGTTGTGCATCTTTGTGTCTTTAACAGGAATTCCCATTACAATGCTGGCTTTAAAATCAATAGGTGAAGTCATAGCCTACTGTGTAAATGCATTCGTCACAAAGTTCGAGAAGAAAATCCTGAAAAGAGCTGACCCGAAACAAGTAGAAACCAAGAGTGCTAGTATTTTGTTCATGTTGATGGTGGTGGTAATTGTGATAAACAGTTTGTTTATGATGCCCTTAACAGAATGGGGGCTCCTTGAGGGAATATATTTTTGGTTTATAACGTTGACAACTATTGGTTTTGGTGATTACGTTCCTTACAAATCGCAAGGGATAAAAGAGATAACGGCAAGTAACTTAAGTGGTTTTCAGAACCAAACAAAAACAGGTAACGCAGGGGAAGTCACTGCCTTCATTTTCTCTGAAATATTCTTTACATTATACCTTATTTTCGGTTTATGCGTTGTCTCCAGCGTACTAAACGCTATTATGGCCGCCCTTGAAAAACAAAAATGCTGTCTTCGATGTCGTTGTATTCCTCGAAAAACAAAGGCGCAAGACGTTTGCAGTGAAGAGAGTAACACTCAAGAGCGTCGGGAAACCAATATAACTATCTTGAGCTTGGAAAGTTTTGGATTCCGGACGGACAATGCTGCAGCGCTAGAAAAGATCGAAGAAGGCTACAGTAAATGAAGAGAGTACAGGCGACGTCATTTGTATGAAGAATGACTTACTTATGACACACTAACTTATCATTTTAAGTGTCCTGGGAAACAGTTTATCGACGCACGGCTTTTATTCGGATTAAAGAGCGCAGCACGACCTGTTGGTACGACGCTTTTTAATTGATTGATTGATTGATTGATTGATTGATTGATTGATTGATTGATTGATTGATTGATTGATTGATTGATTAAGGCTATGCTCACACTATACCGGACAGCTTTTGCGCCTGCGCGAAAACTATACCGGATATGGCTTCTGTTCACACACGAGAACGGGGATTTTGGTGCGATTTCTGCAACGGAGCGAGCATGCGCCGAGCCGATCTCTAGAGTGGAGAGTCGCATATTGGATAGGTGTTCATACTATGCTGGACAGCGTTTCGTGACGGCCCGAAAAGCTAATCCGGAATAGCGTCAGACCATAGTTATTAGAGGAGACTGGTTATGAAAAGCGGCAAACATCAATGATAAAAACAACAGTGCTGCAGTTTGTGTTGGAAGCACCCTGAAAGTGCACAATCCTTTGCTTTCTGTTGGCAAATTGTTACGGAATAAATTAATGCAACGTTTTTATTGGTCAATACAATCAAAATGATAGGAATTCTTTTGAACGTTGTGCACTTTCAGGTCCACAAAA